CAGTAATAATACTTTAAAATCAATCCTAAATGTAACTGGGAGCCAGTGTAAAGACCTGAGGACTGGTGTGATGTGTTCATATTTTCTGGTTCTGCTCAGAATCCTGGCAGCAGCGTTCTGTATGAGCTGCAACTGTCTTATGGTCTTTTTAGGAAGGCCAGTGAGGAGTCCATTACAATAATCCACCCTGCTGGTGATGAAAGCATGCACAAGTTTCTCTAAGTCTTGACTGGAAACAAAGCATCTAATTCTTGCAATATTTTTTAGATGATAGTATGCTGATTTAGTTATTGATTTGATATGACTACTGAAACTAAGGTCTGACTCTAGAGACACACCCAGATTCCTCACTTGATTTTTAGTGGTTAGACCCCTAGCGTCAAGGTATGCGTTCACCTTGAGAACTTCATCTTTGTTGCCAAACGCAATGACTTCAGTTTTGTCTTTGTTTAACTGAAGAAAGTTTTGGCACATCCAATTGTTTACTTCCTCAATGCATTGGCACAGGGAGTCAATGGGGCTGTAATCGTTAGGCGATAGGGATAAGTAGAGCTGTGTGTCGTCTGCATAGCTGTGGTAGGAGATTTGGTTCTTTCTCATTATTTGGCTCATTGGGAGCATGTACAGGTTGAATAGGAGTGGCGCAAGAATTGAGCCTTGAGGGACTCCGCATGTCATGGATGTCCACTCAGACTTATGGTCTCCTATACTCACATAATAACCTCTCCCTTCTAAGTATGACCTGAACCATTTTAGGACTATCCCAGAAAGCCCCACCCAGTTTTCCAGCCTGTCAAGAAGTATGTCGTGATCGACAGTGTCAAATGCAGCACTGAGGTCGAGTAGTACCAGCACTGATAATTTGCCTTTATCAGTGTTTAGGCGAATATCATTTATTATCTTTATGAGCGCTGTCTCTGTGCTGTGATGCGATCTGAAACCAGATTGAAAATTGTCAAAGTATCCATTCGAGATTAAGAATTTGTTCAGCTGATTGAAGACAACTTTTTCAATGATCTTGCCTATGAAAGGAAGATTTGAGATCGGTCTATAGTTGCTTAATATGGTCTTATCCAGATTGCTCTTTTTCAGGAGGGGCTTGACAACTGCAGTTTTCAGGGAGTTTGGAAAATTCCCAGAGATAAGTGAGGCATTTACCACTTCTAGGAGATCTGCTTCTAAACAGTTTAACACACTTTTGAAGAAAGATGTGGGAAGTGCGTCAAGGGCGCAGGTTGATGTTTTAAGGTGCTGTACGGTTTCTTCTAAAATTTTGCCATCAATTTCATCAAAATCAGACATAGTAGCTGCTTTCTCAGGTTGTGGTCTGATCTGTCTGACCCCAGCGCAACTCAATGATGTGCTGATCACCTTTCTGATATTATTGATTTTCTCGGAGAAGAACAAAGCAAACTCCCTGCACTTGCTGTCTGAGAGCAATTCATTGGGAATCTGGCTTGGGGGGTTTGTCAGTCTCTCTACAGTAGCAAAAAGAGTGCGTGTGTTGTTTAAGTTGCTGTTTATAATATTTGATAAGAAAGTCTGTCTAGCTTTGCCTAGTTCCATATTGAAAGCATGGATGGTGTCTTTGTAGATGTTATAATGGACTACAAGTTGTGTCTTCCGCCACATGCGCTCTGCTTTTCTGCATTGTCTTTTCATATTTTGCACTGCTGTTGAGTTTCTCCAAGGTGCTTTTTGTCTACCACTCTTCCTGACTTTCACAGGAGGAATATCATCAATTACACTTTTAACTTTTGAGTTAAAAGAATCAAGGAGAAAATCAACAGAGTCAGCAGATAAGCTTGGTGTTGAAGATATAGCCTTCATAAATAGTACACTAGTGTTCTCATTTATGCATCTCTTCTTGACAGATACAGATCTAGCTTCAATGGCAGGAGAGATCAATATATCAAAGAAAATACAGAAATGATCAGACAGTGCTACATCCTTAATAACAATCGATGAGATGTTTTTACCCTTACTGATAAGTAAATCTAGAGTGTGTCCACGAATGTGTGTCGGTCCGTGTACATGCTGAATCAGGTCAAAAGTTTTTAAAACAGTTTTGATTTCTTTTGCCATATTGGTTTCTGTATTATCTATGTGGATGTTAAAATCTCCAGCAATAGCAAAACAGTCAAACTCTGAGGAAATTGTTGATAACAGTTCTGTAAAGTCCTCAGCAAAGGCTGAAGAGTATTTTGGAGGCCTGTAAAGAATAATAAGTAAAATGCGTGGAACGCCTTTTAACACAATACCCAGATATTCGAAAGACGGGTAATTACCAAATGATATTTGCTTACATTGATAGACATCCTTAAAAAGAGCAGCTACTCCTCCACCTCTCCTTACAGCTCTGCAGACACTCATGAAAGTAAAGTTAGGAGGAGATGTTTCATTGAGGACTGTTGCACTGCAGCTGTCTTCTAGCCAGGTTTCATTTAGAAACATAAAATCCAGGTTGTATGTGGTTATTAAGTCATTGACTAGAAGTGATTTATTTTTAAGTGAGCGGATGTTTAAAAGTGCTAACTTAACAGTCTTACTTTTTGTCCCCACAGCAGTCTTAGTTTGGCGTGTAATAGGCACCAGATTAGATGGGTTTGCTGTACGGCTTTTGAAGGCCTTAGACTTTCTATCATGTAATCGAACAGCAATAGAGGAAGATACAGGCACACTGGGTTCCCGCTTGTTATGTAAACATTTAAGAAAGTTACTGTTGTCATAGCGGAGACCCGACACATATCACTGAGAGCTGGTATCAGTTGTTTTTGGTTGACCTCGGGCCGCTGGAGGAGGGTGTGGGCCCTGGCGCTGTGGCAGAGGCCGAAGAGCTCTCACAGGAGGAGGGGGAGGGCGAGCTGGGCCCACAGGCTTTGGTGGATGTGGGGCCTGCCGTTTTTTGGTTGACATCTGGGGGCTTGCAGCAAAAGAGTGGGATAGTTTGGTTCCAGCAAACACCAGTTCTTCCATTTTCTCTGAGAAGCACAGAAGTGGAGATGCTGGAGATAGAGAAAATGTGTCTGGTGAGACGGGCTGTTGCTCTGGTGTTATCGGCTGTAATATGCTGTCCTGGTTTCCCTGGCTGTTTTCCAGAAAGTCGTCCTTGGGTGCTGAATCTTGGAGCAGTTCTAATATGTCACATTCTGTCTGTGGTGAGCGCTGTGGGCAGGGCTCAGCAGAGATTGTATCCGTGAGCAGAAGTTGTTGTGGCTGCATGGTGTTATCATTGTCCTTGTGTGACGTGTCAACCGCATGTCCATTCAGGTGCTGAAGTGAAGTCCTGTGGTCATTCATACTGTGTCCAGGTGTGTGTGTGCCATTCAGGTTGAGTGGTTTGGCACACACTGCAGAAGGATGATTGAGGGAGAAGCAGATATTGTCCTTTAGCAGTCTTGAACCAAGTTTGTTTGGGTGGAGCCCATCCTGTTGAAACAGTTGCCTCTGACTCCAGAAAAGATTGAAGTTGTCAATGAAGTTCACTCCTTTTAAATAGCAGTTTTTTTGGAGCCATGTATTAAGCCCAAGCAACCGTGAAAACCTGTTTGTTCCTCTTGCTGGTAGTGGTCCACTGATGAATGTTTGAACTTTCAGTCTTTTAAGTGTTTCAAAAAGTTCATTGAAATCTTTCTTAAGGAGTTCTGACTGCTCTTTATGAATATCATTTTTCCCCACATGAATGATGAGTCGATTTGCAGTCTTATGTTTCATCAGAATGTTCTCAAGTTCACTGTTTACATCAGAAGTTGTTGCTTGTGGAAGGCAGCATGTAGTTGTATCCCTGCTACTAATGTTTCTGATTATCGAGTCCCCCACTATCAGAGTCCTGGGCTCGGCTGCGCTCTGAGCTGAGTGCCGCTGTCTGCTCGACCTTGAGCGCCAGTTAGCAGTGTTAGCTACTGGCTGATTCAGTCTGTGTTCGATCACATTCATCACGTTTGGGGATTTCTCATTTACATTCATTAATACTTCAAATCTGTTCTCAAGATGTATAGGCGGTGGTAGGAGACCAGTGTTTGCAATCCTTGTCAGAGCCGTATCTGGGGTAGAGGATGCTACTGCGGCAATATGTGATACTCGTGACAATCTGATGTCTCGAGTGCCTTTGGGTCTCGCTCCCTGTGTGTGCCACCGATTTGTAAGTCGATCGGTTTGTTTCTCTACACTCAGTATGGCCTGTCGAGGAGTACTAGATGCATGGGACTCACCGGCTGTATGCTGAGGGCGTCCATGGCTGATCTCTGTTGTGTGTTCCGTCTGGTTCGGTGGTCCCACAAATAACTTTGTTTCAAGAACTACAATCCTTTGTAAAAGTCTCTGGCAGTTAATGCAGCAAGTAGATTCCAGAAGAGGCATTTTCTCTTATCCTTTATGAGTGTAGACTGTTGTGTTTTCTCTTCCCCGGAATGTAAGCTTTCAGTGGGAGGCTGGTCAAGTAAAAAGAATTCTGCTTTTTTATGTAGTAATCCAAGCGTTTGAGCACTGTACTGATTATCTGAAGTTAAAATTAGGTGATAAAAAGAGATAAAATATAAAAATATAAAAGCAATAGAGCAAAGCGCGGAGCAGTAAGCAAGAGCGTCCGAACAGTAGCAGAGCAGGAAGTAAAAATCTGTTTGGTACTTTTTATACTTTTTCGAAGTGTATTGTAATTAATTATATATAAAAAAATTGTATATATTGTTTGCTGTCAGAACAAAATAGGTGTTACCACAAACTACTCATCAAAACAAATCATCATCAGGTACCCATGTAAACATCTGTACTTTCCATTTTCAGTAAACATTCTGGTGTTTATCTTGGGATTCAGGAACAGGAGGTCAGCTTGCCCTTTGGGCTGCATGCCAAACCATTCCCTAACCCACACACAAACATTCACACACTGTTGAAATCTCTCTATGTCCTGTACACTTCAGACATCCATGTGCCTCTCTTCCCAATGCTCAAATCAGCTATAAAGGCAGGTGGTTTTAGCTCTCAAATGCTTTACCCCTTCATTGCTCCTTTAAGGGGGTTGACTCTTGTACTTTAAATGGTCTCATGCTTCCTTTACTCCTCAGGATTAAGGCTACAACGATGTCGGAACTCTTGTCCATACTCATGAACCCACTTATTGGCAACTGGAAAAGAAAAGACAAAAAATGCCTTTATATTGGTGGGTTCCTCACAGAAAGCTTATGGCTTTAAAGGGGTCATGAACTGGATTATTTTATAATGTTTCATGGGGTGCCCTTGTAATGTTAGTATGATTTTTACATTAAATTTGTCATAATTTAGAAATAAAAGGCATTTTTCCTACCCTGATTTTAGCCTTTGATTTGAACCCTCTGTTCGAAGAGGCGTGTCTGCTGTGAGACTTCAGTGTAAACGCCCACTGCTGTGATTGGCTGACATGTTTGCATATGAAATTGTTATGTGGATAGTAGGATGAACCCAATAGCAGACAGCAGATAACTCAAACAGGATTTATTAAAGACAAAAACAGAAAACAATACCCACGATGGGGCAAAACAAGACAGGATAGACTAGAGTAAGATTCAGACTAATAACTAAGACAGGAACGAACAAACAAACACTTCTTTGAACAGACTTCCAACAAGTAACTTACGGTTGATTGACACAAAGTAGGTCACTACATCAAACAATGAACCGGCACAGGACAGCAAATACACAGGGATTAAATAGGGGACACTAATGACTAGGACAGGTGAAACTGACTAGACAATAATGACGAGACGAGGATAACAAGGGGGCGGGGTTACGTAACGAGACAACACAAGCACATGGCCCAAGCAAAAGGCCATGAGCTTGTACACAAAACACGGATCTGTCATGATTCTGCCACAAGACCAGAGAAATCAAAAGACATTATGGCAGAATCATGACAGAAATAGCTAGCATTACATGTGGAAATCTCTCGAATACTTTTACTACGTTTTTACTATTACAGATATCGAGATTAACGAATCGTGAAAAGTTTTTAAAGTATTTCCATCACATGAAAGGTTGCAGTGATGAGCATTGAGCAGATGACAGTCTGTTGATCGCGTGAATGAAAACATCTTATCATTGCAACGCAATTTCTGCATCTCACGAATGCTTTCACCAAATAACAATGCAAGCATGATGTAAATACAGTAAGAGCTTCGTTGTGCAGTGTAACAGCGTCATTGATTTCATAACGAGTTTTGGCAAGTGTCCAGATAAACTCGCGTTGTGTGATTGACAGCTTGAGCGATTGGAAAGGGATCGTTCTTTGATCGCTTTCTGTATAATCACAGTTTGAATACGATTATTTTCATCCTACTAACATAAACGATGTGAAGTTGATCTTTTGGTCACTGGCTTGATTTACTGATGCATAAACAGTATTTTGAGAGAAAGATTATCTGTCTGAACTTGATTAGCCTACACATCAGTGAGAAACATGGCGGAATACCACAAAGGTATTTAGCAGTGATATTGTCAGGCTTTTCTATTTACAGCTAAGTAAGATAATTGCCTGCACAGTATATTATGGTATTACAATATATTAGGGGTGGGAATCTCTAGGCACCTCACGATTCGATTCGATTACGATTCAGAGGGCTGCGATTCGATGCTAAATCGATTATCAGAATCTTTTTTGTGTGTGTGTGTGACTATAAATACTTTGCTTTAAAAGTACAAAGTAATGACCCATAAAGAATTAACGTACAATATATTTTATTAACATTGCAAAGAACCAACAGGAAAATACATGTGTGTCTGAACTAGCAGCAGCATATTTGTAGTAAATTAATAATATAACAACGACCGGTAACGTTACAGCCGAGTGTTTTTCCTCCTCTGGCTGGAAACGTGTCATTTGGCTTCATGTGTCTTGTTTCCGAAATATTTTAGTTTTACTCTACAAAGCTTACAACTAGTGTGGCTCTTGTCCAGCTCCTTTCCCCCTTCAACTTCAGAAGCCAAAATATTTCCACACGTCAGCTTTTAACGAGGAGGGTGTTTGGATTTGGCGCTCAGCCATCGCGTCCGCGTCTGTTATGTGCACGCCACAGACGGTCCGGCCACTGCACTTCCGCGCTTCAGAGTTCCGTCTTTCGCGTTCCGTCAATAGGCTATTACGTTATTATAAATATATATCTAAAAAAAAATTTTTTTTTTTGAAAATCGATTTTTGACAATTGTGAATCGATTCAGAATCGTCCACGTCCGCATCGCGATGCATCTAAGAATCGATTTTTTCCCCCACCCCTACAATATATGGTATTACATTATAACAATGTAATATCTAACGATATGCAGTGGCTTCATAAATTGATTAAAAACATGAAAAAGCAAAGCACACCTGATGCACATTTATTTGTTCTTCATTTTCTAGAACTAGAGTTTAAGAACCTTGCTGTATTTTTGTGTAATTAATTAAAAGAATGTAAACCACCATCTTACTCTGACGAAAGTGACTTGAACGTGCCTGCCGTCGTAAACAACTTCCCTATGACATCACAAGTCTCCACTTTTGAGATCCTGTCATTTTCTGTCCATGGTTTCAACTTTCAATAAAAGCAGTTTTTGGAATAATGAGGTTTTGAGTTTTGAAACTTCCAGGGTATTTTTTTAGTATAACGAACTCTTAACTGTCAAAAGATCAAGTAAAATTTAATTCTCAGTTCATGACCCCTTTAAAAGCCTTGAAATATAGCACACGTAAGGACATCTTTGATGTTTTTTTTTAAGCTTAACAGGTGAGTAAATAAGTAAATAACCCAAAAAAGCTCCATTAACCATTCCCAATTCATTGAAGGTTCACATTTTTCCTTACACTTTTTTAAATATTATTTTACAGAGTTATTATCTACTGTTGGAGCATTCCTGTAGATCAAACAGTAGTGTGTGGTGCCAGCAAGTCATTGGTTCAATTACCAGGGAATGAATTAATCAAATGTATACCTTGAATGCAATCTAAATTGCTTTGGTTATGATTGTCTGTCAAATGAATGTCCTTTCATTATGTTGGTAAACAAGACACCATGTGATACAACAATCATACCCCATTTATCGCCAACAATGACAGGGCAGCCAGCATGAAGAGTGTCACCATTTCCTTGACCATTTCTATGAAGATTCCACCAGAAGAGAGCCCCATTCTAGAAACCAAACATAAAAAAGAAAATGTTTAGAAAAACCGTACTCGGTTACTAACGTAACCTCGGTTCCATGAAAGATAAGGGAATGAGTATTGCGTAGCTATACGCTATGGGAAAACTCCTTTTCTTGAGAAGCCTTTATTTTAAAACGCAGTGCAGGCTGTCTAAGCGCGCTGATTGGCTGGGCTGCGGCAACTGCACGAACCTATGGCGAAGCAGCGAGGACGCGCAAACCTATCAGGGCGCTTCCCGCCAACGCACGCGCCAAAGCGCGCCAGAATGGGCGTGGCTGCTGACTATATAAGCGGAACATTTCGCCATAGGAATCAGGTTAAATCGACTGAAGTGACAGCACCTGGACGTACAGCGTAATAGCACGGCCGGCTACGCAATACTCGTTCCCTTATCTCTCAGGGAACCGAGGTTACATTAGTAACCGAGTACATTCCCTTTCGAGAACGGTTCACTCATATTGCGTAGCTATACTTGTTTTAATATTTATTTTAAAATGCCGTGCTATTAGCTGATGACTTCGCGCTGACTACCGCCTGGAGCTGAGAAGCCCGAGACTTATAGTAGAACTAAAGCCAGAATCCAACGGGGACCGGATGAATCAGGGCCCTCAAAGGGATATGTAGAGACTTGGGCCAAAAGGGGCCAAGACCTCCTATATAGAAAGGACTCGTGCCTGCAGGGCCAGCACTTCCAAGTTGTAAAATCATACAAATGTGCATGGCGAAAACCAGCCGGCCGCCACACAAATGTCCTCAATTGATACCCCACTGGACCATGCCCATGAAGAGGCCATGCCCCTAGTGGAATGAGCCCTGACGACTATGGGGCATTGAAGGCCCATTGAAGCGTAGGCTAAAGAGATAGAATCTACTATCCATCGTGATAACCTCTGCTTCGTGACCGGGGACCCTTTGGTGAGGCCACCGAAGCATACAAAGAGCTGTTCCGACAGCCTGAACGAGGCAGAACGCTCTAAATAGACACTGAGAGCCCTGACAGGGCAGAGTAGATTCAAGTCTCTATTGTTTTCCGACGGGGGAAGAGGCGATAGTGAAATTACCTGGGCTCTGAACGGAGTCACCTTGGGAAGCGTTCATGGAGAGCGCTTGTAAATCACCTACTCGCTTGACAGATTCTAGGGCTAGCAGTAGTACGGTCTTGTGTGAAAGTGGCTTTAAGTCAGCCAACTGAAGTGGCTCGAAAGGGGGTCCCTTAAGAGCCCTGAGGACCGTAGATAGGTCCCAGGCCAGGATAGAGGGAGGTCGAGGCCTCCTGGCCCCTTTGAGGAAGCGTACAATCAGGTCGCTTTTTCCTAGAGATTGGCCGGCCACAGGAGCACAAAACACTTTGAGCATGGAGGGGGTCCAGCAGCTCTTGGAGAAAGAAAAGTACCAGTGGTACTTCACACGAATATGGCTCTAGGTTCCGAGCTGAGCACCAGCCGGTCAACTCTGACCACTTGAGGGCATAGAGACGTCTTGTAGACAGGAACGTCCTTGGATACCCGTTGAAGGGCCTTACATCGAGGGGCCAAAAGTCGGGATGGGGGTGCCAGACTGTCCTGTTCGCCTGCATGAGGAGGTCCTTCCTCAGCAGAATAGGCCAGGGAGCTGTCTCTAGCAGCTGCATCAACTCGGGGAACCATATCTGGGTCCACCAGAGAGGGGCTATTAAAAGGACTGCACACTTGCTCTTCCTGATGCGTTTGATGACCTGAGGGAGCATCGTGACCGGAGGGAATGCATTAAGAGGGCGGCTGGGCCATTCGTGGGCCAGCACATCCCTGTTCTTCGAAAAGAATATTGGGCAGTGAGAGTTGTCTTCTGAGGTGAAGAGGTCGACCTCTGCCCTCCCGAAGACACTCCAGATCAAAAGAACCATCTGAGGGTGGAGAGACCATTCCACGGAGGGAGCGTTGTCTCAAGATAGCATATCTGCACCCTGGTTCAGTATGCCCGGTACAGATTGGCATGAACCCATAAGAGGAGCTGTTTGGTCATGGTGTACAGGTTGTATGACCTGAGACCGCCCTGGCGATTTATATATGACACCAATGCCATGTTGTCCGTCCGGACCAAGACATGGTGCCCTGCCATGTAGGCGCTTCTCCGAGCTCGACCAGAGGCCGGAGGCAGGCCTGCCCTCGTACAGAGCCCCCCAACCTAAGTTGGAGGCGTCTGTTGAAATCATCTTCTTCCTTGAGACCAGACCCATGCTTACACCAGACTAGTACCAGCTGGTGTCTTCCCAAGGGGCCAGGGCTTTGATACAGCCGTGGATTACCCTGATACGTAGGTGGCCGTGCCGCCATGAATGAGCCGGGACTTGGGGTTTCAGCCAGTGCTGAAGGGGGCGCATACTCAGTAGGCCTAGCTGGAATACTGAGGCCATAAGGCCCAGTGCCCTTTGAAACGTTCTGAGGGGCGTGAAGGAGCCCGCTGTGAACGAAGCAGCTAGCTGTTGAATAGAGAGAGCGCGGTCTGTCGTGAGCCAAGCTCTCATTTGAACAGAGTCAATAACTGTTCCCAGGTACGTTATATGCTGGCTGGGAGACAATACACTCTTGGAGGAGTTTATCCTGAGCCCAAGGCGTTCTAGATGGCCGAGGAGCCAGATTTTTTGAGTCTGTAACTCTGCCTCTGACTGGGCCAGAATGAGCCAGTCGTCGAGGTAGTTCAGAATGCGCATTTCACTCAGGGGGGAGAGAGCTGCATCCATGCATTTCGTAAACAGTCAGTGCAATGCAGGGAGACCCCGCATGAAACATAGACCGGGTGCGGCATTTGAAACAACGCCGTTTGCTCTTTTTGTGAATGAGCTTTTTCAAAAAGGATACTCTGCCGGATGGCCGCAGGGAAACGGCGAACAGCGTTGACGGTGTAGAGTTCAGGAAACGCTGAGCAGGAGGCCGCCGGTTGATGAGCTGCTATTGCAGATCACTGCGTTCCGCTGCTGGGCTGTTCAACGGCGAGAGGCTTCTTTGTCCAGAGAAATCAGCGAAGAGATGCGTCGTTCGTTGAAGAAGATTAAATCTGATTCTTATGGCGAAATGGGCCGCTTATATAGTCAGCAGCCACGTCCATTCTGGCGCACGCTTTCTGATAGGTTCGCTCGTCCTTGCTGCTTCGCCATAGGTTCGTGCAGTTGCCGCAGCCCAGTCAATCAGCGCTCTTAGACAGCCTGCACTGTGCTCGCTGTGAAGCTGCACTGCGTTTTAAAATAAAGTCTTCAATATTCTAGAGAAAAGGAGTTTTCCCATAGCGTATAGCTACGCAATACGAGTGATCCTTTCTCGAAAGGGAAACACTCCTTACAGAGAATAAAGAAAACTCCTAATATAATTATATTATGTTTATTTAGTCTAAAACCTTCTTTGATTGTGTACACAACAGCCAAAAATCCTGGATTATGAACCTTGATTAATGTATATTCCTTTTTTTCTTTTGCGAGAGGTTGTGCAGAGATGACATCCCCTTATTGGGTGGTGAAAACCTGAGTGCCTTGAGGTGAAAGTGCAAATTTCTAGATAGCTATCTCTCAGGTTTCACCAACAGTTCATTTATTGAAACAACACTGACTCCCAAACCCAAAGCTTTTGTTGTAACAGGATATCCAACGAAATGTCTGACCTCAATAGAAAACAATCTGTTAACTTATTACAGAATTGTAGGGCATATCATTCTGAAAGCTGTGCAGAGTGAAGTCTGGTTGTCTTCTGTCTTTAGTGAATCTGTGAGAATGATATATGGAATTCTGTACCTCCACTACAGGAACACTGAAGTTAGCGTAAATGAAGGCTGTGAATCCTCCTGCTTCCACAGAGCTCAACTAAAAAAAGAAAAAATCATTATGTTGTAAAGTGGTTTACTCAAATCGTATTTTATTAATTTTGGTTACTGCTAAATGCTTACAAAACGCATTTATTTACTTCCTCACTCAAAACTACATTGGGTAGATATTGTCTTTTAATTAAGAAAGAAAGCAAGCAAGAGCTGAACTATTTATTGACTTACATATATCATGAATGTAGCCACTCGATTTCCAGTTTTTAGCCTGTACAATGGACTCGAGTCAGACTGCCAATACAAATAAAAATAAAACGATTTTAAACATTCTTCTGCTGTAAAAAGTCACAGTATACACAATGGGTATGCATCATGGCTGATAATGTATATGCAAGATACATTATCAGTAGGAAATCTCTCTATTGGAAAGTATATATTTATTATACATCTGAATTGTTGTAAATGTGTTTCCTTAAATGTGTGTGAATGTTTGGGACATTTCTGAATGAAAGAAAATTGTTACTCACTGTCGCATGGTCAAAATGAGGTTCATAGTGTCCTCCAATGCCATAATTTACCACTTGGAGATATTCAGCATAAGGAGGCTGCACATTCAACCCAGTGACCATAGTGATGCGTCGATCCACCTTGCCCACAATCTCATGGACCGACTCTTTAAGCCATGCACTGAAAGATCATTGACAAAAATTCTAATGTGAGAGCCACTTCACACAGAAAGAAAAAAGGGGGATATTATTGGAAATTGGACTAATTATTACCATTGAGATATGTTGGTTTTGAATGTTGTAGGAGTACACTAGCATAAAGATGATATAACTTGGATTTCATTGGGTCTTTAAACAAAAAATGACTTGTACCTCTTGCTGATCCGATATTCTGCAGTGGCCTGATTTAATCCTGATGCCACCACTGATCTTCTAAGCTGAAGGAAAACATGAACATTCACATTTAAATATTTTTTATAAATGTTAGTCACTGTGAAGAATAAAGTACACATTTGAAAGGAGAAACAGTAAGAGAACTAGAAAAAGTAGAAATATATAAGATAAGAAAAAAATTATTGCAGTTTCTTTTATGTGGGAATTCCAGGAAGGAACAAAATTACTTAACTACTGGCAGGGACAAAGAAAGAAAGAAAGAAAGAGAAAAAAAAAGCAATGACGGAAACACGTGATTTAATGCTCAGTCTGCCCCTGCAAAAACACTCTGGGTGGAATAACTGACGAGCTGTGAGCACAGTTGATTCCGACCGCATGACTTATTCATGTAATGTGCTATTCATCTTCTTTCCAGCTCAGTTCGAAGCTGGCTTAATTTGTATGGTTAAATATGTCTGGAAAAGGAGGGAAAACTAGCACACAAAATGTTGTCTCTCTTTAGAAAATGGCTTTATACAGACTCTTTGTCTCTCCGTGTTGAGCCAGTCAGTAACTGCTATGCCGTAAGATGAAAAGTGACTGATTTTACTGGTGACTGAGACAAATTATTTAAAAAATGAAAGCAGCACAACCTCAGCTGAGAACTGGCAACAAATGAGAGCTGAAGTCTCTGCCAACATTTTTCCCTCAATCCAAAAATGGTCCAAGTAACATAAAGGACTCAATTACATCCAATTCTCAAAAAAAAAAAAACCTTTCTCAGTTATTTGGAGAGTTTTGGTCCAAATTCACTCACTCTTGCATGTGCATCATATCAAAGGCAGCATGGGTCATTCATTCATTTACAATGAATTACTCTCACATCTTAGATTTACTTATTGCATACCCAATTCTGTATGTTTCCACATTACGACTTAATGCAAACAGTACACTCACCCCTGGCATTGCATATTCTCTGATGCTTTTAGCTTCAGGTCGAGTGACAAAACCATGGAAGAGCACAACATAAGGGTGCAGGCTGATTAGCTCTCTTTTAATTGGTTGCAGAAGTAAACCAGGGTTGCCATTGGTGAAATAGTCACAGAACAACCTGGGGTTCTCAAAATGTTTTGGCTGTAAAAAGAAAGTGTGTTATTATTTCTAAGGCTCTGAAACATAAATATTCCTAACAGGCTTCAAATAATTTAAGTTATGACTAGCAACAAGAATGAGTTTAACTGATAAACATAAACACAGGTATTTAAATTAAGTTAACATAACTAATTAACTCTAACCATCACTCAAGTGATGTCATTATGAATGCAATAAAACTAATATTACTGTGTTAAAAGGACATTTATCTATGCAATGGTCCCCAAACTGGGGTACGTGAGGTGACAGAGGGGGTACGCAACCAAAATCCTGAGTTTTGCCATTCATTCAATTCTGCCCCACTTTAAAATAACATTAAAACCAAGCATGCATTTCTAACAGGCAAAATGCTGCCTCTAATGTAAAAACAGCAAAATGGTAGTGCGGTAAAAGTCAAATACATCACATCCAATCAAATTAAATCATCGTTTGCAGTCAAATCTGTCTACATCCACACAAGCACTGTGCATATGATATGTTGCGTGCGTAGTATGCTGCCCTTGCAAATCGCGCTACATTAATGCCGTTCTCGATAATGTACCTTTGTAAAAATGGGGTTTTAGCACTTTTAGCATAGAGATCGATTTAAGACTCAAACTATCTTCGATACAAAAACATACCCTTTGTGAGTTATTGTTTTTAATGTTGATAATGTATTTTATGAGCAAAAGAAAGCAATTTTTCCCAAATGTCCACACGGTTGCATATGTGACATTTATTTTATACAACAGTTCAACAAACAAAAAGGTAATATTAAGTGATGTAAATTTTTAAACAGTATTTGAGTATTGTTTTCTCTATTTTGAAACTAAATAACAGTTTCAACGAAAGCCACAGTAGAACTGTTGTGTGTCTCCAAGCAACACATAGTGATGTTTCATTAGTGAAAGAATCTGCAGCTTTGAAAGAATCGGGAGAGTCACTGATTCAATTACCCATTCATAAATACAGTCATTAAAAACATTATCTCATAACATTAGCCTATTTGTGCCATTGTAATTGAATTCATGCCACCTCTGAGCAGGATTAAACAGTGTGTAAATGATGTAGCTTGTACCACTACATTGCAGTGCAGACAATTGTTGTTGTTTTTAATACTGATTCCATTTAATTGAAATTATTGATTTAGTTTATTGCTTTATTTATTATATTAATAATAAAATTAATGGAATTTTAGGGATTCTACATAAAACATGGCATACTGTACATTTAATTGGGTTAGATAAACTTTGACTTTATAAAGCTAAAAAAAAAACCACCTAAAAATAAATTAAAAAATATTGTCACTTGTCGGTGCCGACAGCCTCGTGGGCAAGTGTGCCAATATGTAGTACCGTTGTGCTTCGGGCGACCCGAGTTCGAGTCCCAGCTCGTGGACCTTTCCCGATCCCATCCTCCCTCTCTCTTTCCCGTCTAGCTTCTGTCCTATCCAAATAAAAGGCAAAAACGCCAAAAAATATATATATATTGTCACTTAATGTAAAGGATATTAGATGTCTTAGGGCTACTCTGAAAAGTTTTGGAGCTGATCTAGGCAATGTGTCATTTTTTTATAAAACACTGCATAACGTTAGGTAAGTATAAATATAAATTTAAATTGTTTTGAAAGGCAAATGTTTAATTTCTATGCCATTTGTAACGCGCTGCTTCAGGAAGAAGGAGAAGGATAGCTCACAACTGAAGATATTACGTGCGGAGGCCAGACAGACTCACGGAGGCGATATGCATCTCAACTCGTGCTTTATTCCACATCGAACTCGTGCAGCATAACTATCTGTCGCACGTCCTTCCGTCCACATCGTTACTTAACAAGCAAAAGTAAAATAATATAAAAGTCGGCATCAAACAGAAATTAGAATTACACACATGGGGTGTTCGAGGCACACGGCATATAGCACATACAATACCAAATAATGTCGACTCTTCAACAGGAGCGCGCAGCTCTTAAAGGGGCCACACCCTACCTTCACTCGTCACAAATTCTTAAAGGGGTCACACCATATTTCCACTCGTTACACATTAATGGCACCAATGGCACCACTTGTCTTTTTTTTTGTAATTCTCATAGTCATGGTTTCCTGGTTTATCATGTGATTCCCTTATCCCGTCCATAGACATAATAAATACATAGACGCCCTATTGGCCGCTGGAGCGTACGTCAACGGCGCCGCCATGTTGGGGAGGGCAACTTTCCCATACCTCTCATACCGGGAATTGATAAAAATGCATGTTTTGTGCGCTGTTTGGGGCTGTACACATCGCCACACAATTGAAAACAGCTTTCGAGGAATTACCTTTCACAAGCAAGACTGAACGTTTGTTTTTGGTTGTATTTGGTCATGATTTAATTAGTAATAGTAACGTTCAGAGGATACATTTAAAAATACTACTGTTATTGTGTCACGAAATGTAGTTTAAATAGTTTTTCAGTCGACAATGTAGTTGTTTAAAGCTCAAATATGTGATTTGTTTATAAAGATAGCGCCCATTTAAAAATTTTATCTGACGTTTTCGGAGTTGTAAGATGCGCTCAGCGCTCGTCTACCCCGCCTGGAACAGCCGTACCTCGGCCAGTGCTTCTGAAGTGTTGCCGCTGACTCGGATGTCTTTAGTCTAGTGGTTAAACATGAGATATAATTCGTCTTGTGTATATCTAACGGGCGATCTTTGGTCTCATTAATCTATAAATGGTTCCCTGGTAAATCGTTTTGGTTGAGGGCAAAGTGAAGTTTCATAACTTTATATTTAGGCTATTTTAACGTTGTATCCTGCTGTATGTTTGACTGAAGCTACTTCTGTTATACTGATCAATAAAACTGAAATTTAACAAAAATAGTTAAATATTAAAGTCACTATTTAACTTATTTTTTATTGTGTATATTCTGTAATTGATATTTCTTATTCTATTGCTATTATTATAGTATTATTAATAAACTATGCTATTATCAATATTTTTATGATTGTATTATTGTACTTATGATATTATATAATTATACTAATCATTACTATTTTATTTGCTGTATACTATTTGTTTATTTTATTGACTAAACTATTTACTATTACTTCTCACTTTATGTTATACTTACTATTTGCATTGCACTGTAGTTGTACCGGAACGTATTATTATAAAGGATCCATCAGTTATCTTTGTTATTGCTAAAATCTGGTCAATCACAGAAAATGCTTTTTCCACAATAAGAAAACTTAAATTATATCTCAGTATGGGGGTCTTCACCATTCTTATCCAAGAATAAAAAGCCAGATACATGACAAGCCTGAGCTTAATTGACCATTCTTTATTAAAAAAAATATTTTACAAGTCTAACTATCGAGATTTTAAATAACTAGAGATGGAACTTTTTGTACACCACATACAAACCACTGAAATCGGTTGATAAATGTAAAAACAGTTTGTTTTTATCCAGAAGAAACGCAGCTCCCCCGTTTACTTACATTTGTTCACAGCGCAGTCTTGCCCTCCGCAAAATGGCGGACCCGTTGACGTATCGCAGCAACGTTCCAAAGCGGCCAATAGGGCGTCTATGTATTTATTATGTCTATGATCCCGTCATATGATCTTGTCATGAACTTCCTCTGTTCATGTGTCATGTTCTCATTGGTTCATTGTTCATTGTTTTCAGGGGTTTCTTGTTAAACCATTAGTCTGTGTATAAATAGCCCTCATTTTTCCATTGTCTCTTGTTGAGTATTGTAAGTGTAACTGCTGTTGGTGAGTTGTGTTTAAGTTTAAGAAGTCGAGTCTTTGTTTAGTTGGCATTTTGTTCATGTTTGGATTTAAATAAAACTGCACTTGGGTTCGTCTACACTAGCCTCCAGTGGATCTGTTACATGACGGGATAAGAGAATCATATGATAAACCAGGAAACCATGACTATGAGAATTACAAAATAAAAGACAAGGAAACAAGAACATGAACAAAACTAAACGTGACAACAACACTATAACATATTTAAACAAAATTCAGAGACTGCCCTGCCTTCCATTGGTATGACAGACAAGTACCAAACTGACACCATTGGTTGAGTCAATGTGTTATTGTCCAGCCGAGTTAGGTAGCCAAAACAAACAGATTGAAGCTTCATTTGGTGTCTCTAGTGGCGCAGAAATAACACACTTAAAATTTAAAGCAGGTCATTGTTTCACGTGACCTCCTCCAGGCTCCAAAACTGAAATAATTAATTTTGTTACATTGCTGTGTAATTTTCTCCAGGCAGCTCCATGAGGAATTCTACCAAGATCCACACAAGATTTGCCAAAGCTCTTATTTTGCCTTTGGCTGCTTTTTGTATTTTCTCTTTTTTTATGATAGGAAGTATTAAATAGTCATATGGATGCCATATTATAATAGCCTAATGGAAGTTTACTCCATTTAGAAACTGTAATCATCAATTGAAATTAATTATGAGGTGCAATGTGTGAACACTTTCCCTTTTCTAACTTATGTGCTAACATTTTACATTTGTGTTGCTTATAATATTTCCAACAATAGATTGGAATAAAAAGATAAAGCCTCCGATGAACACTACACTGTCTCGATCACAATTTGTGTAGCATAGTGAGGAATGATACCTGAGATCCTTTTGTTTGGCAGAGCTTCTCATAGACATTCCTGGTTCTCAGATAAGTGGTGTCAGCCCTTTTCAAAGCCAAGCGTTGGTTAGTAACAGGCGGACTTTCATCAAGGAGCTTCTCATACTTCTCCACATTGAGACATACCCTTCTGTTCATAGGATCTTGAAGACAAGATTGAAATTTCATTGTGATGAAATATGATAGTTGTTCCATATAGATTAAATTTTAAAGTAATTCTTATTTATGAATTAAAAATAAATGTAACTGTTTTGGCCAAGTTTTCTCTCACTGTCTCACTTATTGGCAGGTAGTAGACTGCAGAGGTTTACCATGAAGCAATAGTTCCCGAGAGAGACTGAGGGCGTAGGATATGTTTCCAGTCTAAAAAAAAGGTATTTCATATAATTTATTATCTATATAGTATCTATATATTTCATATATAGATAGTATACTTCTATCATTATATATATAATGAATGAAGTATACTGACACACAAACACACACACACACATATTTGTGTGTGTGTGTGTGTGTGTACAACATGATCAAGTATTAGAAAGCCTATTACATACATTATGTATAACACAATTAAGTATTACCTATGTCTAATTCTATTCAGCTTATGTTCTATTCAGTTTCCCCTAATCAATTAAAACTAATTAGTAGATATGTGAAAAACCACATTTCAAAACTACTGTTCGCATAAAGCGAACCACAAAAGATACAGAACCACCAAAGATGAGACAAAGAAAGGCAAACTAAACAAAATACATTTAAAACTAAGAAAACACCATTGTGATTTGAGGGGAGTTTTAATGAATATTTTGAATCAGATTTTCTTTTTATATTTACCATTTTAATTTCAGTTAAAGTTTTAGTAATTTTGTAGTGCGCTTTTGTCATTTTTAGTAGTTTTTAAAATTTGTCTACATAGTTTGTATTATTATTTTTATTTGAGTTATTTTATTACATCAAGTTAAAGGTTAAGTTTTTTTTAATTTTTGTAGTATTTTAAAAAACAAAAATGTTTTTTTAGTTTTTTTGTTAAAAATGTGATTTTAGTGTTTAACCCTGTCGCTATGTCAACATTTATTTATTTATTTTTTTGTGCCTGAATAGGTGTTTTTTCACTGTTATCTTTGGTATGATACACTATGAAATGTTGGCCACATGCATGTCTGAATACCAAATGTGATCTGAAAAAATGTGTTGGACCCCGTATCGGATTAGATCAGATCACACAAGATTGATCTTAATACCAGGTGTAAACAGGGTCTTAGTTAAATTCATATTTATTTTGTAAGAGGTACCATACCTTGAAATGAGAGAAAGCTAAATGGTCAAGGGCATCTTCAAGTGTGCCTTCATTTTCTGGACTCCATTCTGTTCCTCGAAAGAGACGAACTGCCTCCTCAAACCACTGCACGGAATGGTAGTAATCTTCCAAATCATAGGCCACCTACGAACATAAAGCTCTCACAGTTGTAACATAACACAAATACGACATGAGGGGGGAAAAAGCAAAAAAGATGATGACATCCCACATGTCTGACACTTGGGCTCAGAACACTTCTTACACAACAGTTAAAAAAAGGATTTCAGTCAAAAACCATTTAGTCACTAGTTATTTAATGTGTTCCTTTAGAAATTTTAAAATAAGTTGGTAATCTTTGGCAACATAGCAAGTTTCACTTGGTAGTTGTATGGATGTTGGTAAAGAGAACAGATGGTGCTTATTACAAGACACAAAAAAACAAGAGCTTTTCTTTATGCACAAAGAAAGAAGAGTAAACCACTTGGTAGTTGTTATTCACCACAAAAGAGGCACCAGTTACTAAGCAAATTGAGAAATATGGAATCTACATCAGGAAGTGTGCTCAAGCGGGAACACATTCTGAACACATTTTTTCCAGAGGCTTTCCCAGAGATTCACAATACATTCCAAACATTGACAGCGTGGGCAGTCGACCCCTCTTAGAGTTAAGCTTGTGGCAAATAAGGAATTATTTGCTATGTTTTGCAGACATATTTTAAAGCAGACTGAAAATAATAGATTTTAGCATAATTTTTTTGTTTTACCTTTCCAAGAAGGAAACAATCATCCCCAGAGAGTGTATCAGACACAGGGGGTTTGTAAATGTCAACAGCATTTCCATTTGTGATTTGCTGGAAGTGACCTTGCACAAGTCCCTCCACACGTAGATCATACACATCCTGAAGTCTCATCAGCCCCTGCGCTGCCCCCTGAAGGTCCTCCAGCTTGGGTAAGCTGACTTCCATCTTCCTGTAGCCCTCCCTAAGAGCTTAAGGAAAGTGAATGGGAGTTGTGAAGGGTTAGAGTTAAGTGGGACAAGCAAGCCAAAAGTAAAAAAATAATAATTAAGCTTTAGATCAAGGCTTTCCTTAAATGTGTCTGTGTGTGAAGGTCAGCATATTACCTTTGATATTCTCTTCAGCTTCATTTGTATAGACTGCATTCAACCATTCAGACTGAAGTCTTTTGATCAGTTTGAATGCAACAATTGGATTAGCTATGGTAGCTGATGGCTCATTGTACACGCCACTGTGCAATGATGTGACTCTTGAAAAGAACCTAAAAAAGAATGGTTAATATTTCATTCAAAGGTTAAGCGTTAACATCATATTTTGTTAAAAATAAAAAAAATAAAAAAAATAAAAATTGAATAAAAAACTCTATTTTTTCAGTTTTAGTGTTGGTGTTGCCAACACTAAACATGGTTGCCATGTTTTAAAAAGGAAAAAAAAAACATTATACGGAAATGCTTTTACATCTTTTGTCGTTTTAATTTTTATAGGCTATTGAAATTAGAAAACCAAAATGACAATATCGATCTGAAAGATTAGTTACCATATTAGCTACCACACAAAATGTCATTTATAAAATGTGCCACAGTGACCACAGTTTCAGACAAAAGTTCATAAGTTATGTGACCATCTTGTTTTGGCTATAGATAGCTTAATAAACTACTTACTTTAATACATTCATAAATGATCAAATAGGCTAGTTTACTCTTACCTTTTAATATCGTCAAGTCTTTGTATTTCCAGTTCTATGTATAATCTTAAATGATCGATTAGTTGTTTTTCTGCGAAAACAGCTTGATTCACGCTCATCATCGAAGTAAACATTTCACAGAATGATATATTAAGTACGTATAAAAATATAAAGAGGCTAAAGTACGAAGACATCTTATAAGAGATTATAAGAAGTTTAAGTGGTCTTATAGTAACGCGTTGGCTTATTACGCGTTGTTATTCCACAGCTTTTAATTCCTCTTCATAGCTCACCATGTTCTCACGCAGGAGATGGAAAAAACGCACACGGCCCACGATGAGCTGAGCCATCATCATATTGTGTGTGAGAGAGAGAGAGAGAGAGAGAGAGAGAGAGAGAGAGAGAGAGAGAGAGAGAGAGAGAGAGAGAGAGAGAGAGAGAGAGAGAGAGAGAGAGAGAGAGAGAGAGAGAGAGAGAGAGAGAGAGAGAGAGAGAGAGAGAGAGAGAGAGAGAGAGAGAGAGAGAGGTAGGTAGGCTGGCTGGCTGGCTGGCTGGCTGGCTGGCTGGGAGGGGGTTGAATAATACCACAGGTAGGATATTCTTTTTAAAATATTTCTTTCATCTCTCTAAATATATTAGAGATAAGGTAGACATTTTTTGTTGTCGCTATGGACTAAGTTGAAGTAGGCCTATTCACGGTGAAGCGTACACTGCGATGTAAGTTAGTTAACGACGTTACCTGAGAGAAAGCTGATTTCATTTCATCAGTAAGAAGAAAGGTGTTTTAAAGCTTGTTTTGCAGAACACCACAACCACCCGGCACATGACCAACCTTCAATCTGAAATATGGTTGAAATAATGTCATTAATTGTAGATGACTAATAACATTAATTAATAGCCTACTTTGTGTCCTGCCAATATCTATTGGTTAGAAGAGTTTTGATGTGTTAATATAGCCTATCGTTATTAATCTGCATTCTGTGTTAACTAGTAACTAAACTATTTGATTACAATGTCACATGTCTATCCATTTTCAGTCACAAGATGGTGCCATTGGCTGTTCTATCTGTTAGTAAGAAAAGAGAGAGACTGTGATTTAAAATACTAGGCCTGTGTTTAACATGGAAAATAAATGCACATTGACTGTGGTAACTCAGCTTTGCAATAAAGGTTATAAATCCAGTTTGATGTTCTAGTTTTATTGTTTATGCTACAAACTTACATGCCACAAACATTATGCACTAAATTATATATATGATATATATATATATATATATATATATATATATATATAATTTTTTATTTTTACATTCAGATACAAAATATTGAGATTTCATTGATTTCAAAAAGCACATATTTTGTTTTAATATCAGTAAATATCTAATGCAAATATAGAATTTCATCAGCACAGTTCATATAGCCTTAACAGAAGTCTGCATCAGCAAAGCTAAATCTGTAGGTGAAATCTTATTATTAGCTGCACAGAATGCATAATATTTCAAAGCAATGAAAAGGCACAACGGGACCTGTGTCATACCACGTTCACACCGCAAGTCCTAATGCTCAATTCTGATTTTTTGCTCAGATCCGATTTTATGATTGGCTGTTCACATTACCTTTTAAAATGTGACCTATATCTGATTGCAGTGTGAACTGTTTGAGGTTTCAAACTAACTGGCATGCGCAAAAGAACAATAACAATGACATCAGACGCAGCACGTGGTTGCACTAAAGTTCGGGAGGTTATGGAGGAAGTAAGCATATTCGCATTTATTTCATAATGTTTGTGTAATGGAAACTTTTGCGGGTTAATGGTTGCAAATTCACTACAGAGATCTGTGTGGATGCGTAGACGAAGCCAGGAGTGGTGGGAATATGACGTGAATAGTTTCACTGAGACGCTGTTCTCCTGTGTCCCCGTTCTTCCATTTCGTGTGCAATTTTTTCAAAAACGGAGCGGTTACGGTAGGTCCTTCTAGCTTGAATTGAAGTATCTCCCCATATACTTAGATCTAACACCTCACTCTCATTGACTCGCTTCATCGCTGTTCTCCATATCTAGTCAAGTTTTTAATGTTAGGCTACTGTCTGTGTCTGTTGTGTCTAGGGCTTCGCCGGCGCATAATTGTGACAAATGTCGACGTAGATTGACGTAAAAGTCGCATCAAATCCGCCTTGATTGTTCACACTGCGGCCGCATTGAAAAAAAATCAGATCTGGGTCTGATTCAGGACCACATATGTATGTGGTCTAAATCTGATTTGAAAAAATCAGATCTGGGCTAGATTTGAGTGTTCACACTACCTCTGAAGAAGTCTGACCTGGTCACTTGACCCCAAAAAATCAGATTTGGGCCACTTTTGCCTGCAGTGTGAACGGGGCCTATTCAGCCACTCCGTCACAGTCCCAATCATTACTCAAGCACCAGGACCCGCCCACTCGTTCACAATCACCAGAGTACTGACTCGCTGCACCTGCACTCCCTCATCAACACACCCTTTATATGCCCCTTTCACTCCTTGTCTGGTCTCGTGATCCGCCATTAAACAGAAGAAGAAGAAGAAGAAGAAGAAGAAGAAGAAGAAGAAGAAGAAGAAGAAGAAGAAGAAGAAGAAGAAGAAGAAGAAGAAGAAGAAGACGACGACGACGACGACGACGGGTCTCGTTGCAGAATACGCTGCTTTATGTCAGAATCCTTACCAATCCATTGTCACCATTCTACAAGTCCACATCATCTGGTTCCTGTTGTTCCACCACCACTCTGCTTTTAATAAACACTGTGTGCACCTAAACCTACCTGTCTGTCTCCTCCTGTGTTTGTGACAACCTGCATTAACATAATTAAAATAGCTGACCTCCATATGTAAATACCAACATTTAAGAGGGCCTGCTCTACAAATGGACTCCACAGCTGAATGAGTGACGGCATCAACTGGAATCCATGTAATGCAGCAGTTTTCAAGCCTTTTACAGCTGATTTACAGAGCTTGCCATTTTTGCAACACACATGATTTTGACATAAGAAAACAAAATGGTGTAAAACATCATAGAGACCCCCTGTGTAAAAACTGACCTCAGCTGACCCTGCCACGTGTGAACAATAAGCTCTTCCATTTGGCATATGCCTTTTTCATAGATGTTGTGGGATTACAAATGTAAGAATCTGCTTAAAATCTGCTGATCCCATGTCCTGGCATAACATCACATGAAAACTACATTAAATTGGGCATTCAATGTGAACATGATGACATCCGTTTACTGATTAGATTCAATACAGTTTCCAGTGAGGGGTTTTTGTCAGGGTTTTGCCTACTGAGAGTCAAACTGTGTGTGAATGTTTACATGTCTATAGTGCTAGTGACCAGGTGGTGCTTAAAACATTTGTTGATGTTATCTATAGTTTGATCTCACATTTGGGGGGCCAATTTTCTCACCCCTATTTCCCTCTGATAAAAAAAACAATCCTGCCGAATGTGTCGCAGGGGCATAAAGATGGCTACATATAGCACTTTAGATTCATAGCTGTGAGAGTGAGTGGAGTAGCAAAGCTCAGGAGGCTACTTCCAAAATGTGACAAATGACAAGACATATTCCTATAGGCATTGTTGCATTGAGAAAGATTAGAATCAAGCAAATATTGGTTATAACCAGAAACAGCCAATATATAAATATAAAATATGTACTGTATATAATATAAAAAATATATGTTGGTGCGAAAACTTTTTTAAAACATAGTACATTATTCAAAAGTAAGAATGCAGACAGTGTACACGCTATGTTTTTTTTTCTCTGCCTCATGACATTGAGAAGCCTTGATGAGTAGTTTTTTACCAATGAGAATAAGAAATCAATATAAAATGAAGTCCAAGAAATGTTCTAAAATGAAAGATGTTTGCCATGTTTATAATCTGTGCTGATTTCACTCAGCAATTCAAACTGACAACACCTTGATAGGTATTTTAGTCCAGTTGTCAAAACACAAAATAACAAATATATTTTGTTAAACATTGCCTCACTCAGATCCAAAACCTGACCTCAGCAAAATAAGTTCCCATTAGTTAACGTTAGTTAATGCATTAACTAAAATTAGTGAACAATGAGCAATTCATTTGTTAAATTTGTTGTAATCCTTGTTGTAGTTATAAAAATCGAACTGTTAATGTCAGCTCTGGTCCATTAAATAATGTTAACAGATACGACTTTTATTTTTAGTAATGTATAAATGTTGAAATTAACATTAACTCTAAGATCAATGAATGCTTTAGTTAACTAATGTTAATGTTAATGTTAACTAATGATCTTTTTGAAGGTGTTACCAAAATGAAAATGTTAAGAAAATCACAAAATGTTTCTGTTCTTAACTCACTCAACCTTTTACATACATGGAACCCAAGGACAAACCCATGTAGGGCCCATACCTCAAGCCCCACCATGAAATATTGACTGGTACACTGGCATTAACTGATATAGCAAGTTTAGAAAAGGGATGAGCAGAAGTGAAATGCTTATTTTTGTTATCATGAAGAACTGGATGCAAATCTCTGATTAGACATTAGCTGTATTATTCTGTATTAGCAGGGCATTATATCTAATAAAGTTAATAAACAAAGTTAATGAAGTCTTCATAGAGGGGCCTGACATATGTAGTTAATTATGCTTAGCATAGGCAATTTTGTTGTTTGGAAGAGCATCTGGTACATAAATTGCCACTAAGGACTGATGTAACATGAGACTACTCATTGTTGCTTGTTACCTTTGTTAATTAACCCAAAGCAGGAGGAAAACACGTGTTTATTTCATGACTATGTGCTCTAATTAGACCCAAGGGAGATAATCTAACTGTCAAAACACTTTTAATAAGCACAAACTATTTCTGCTTTGTGTGTGGTCAATAAACATTTACTCTCTGCATTGCACCATTATATCATCGTTTTTTTAATAAATAAATGACATAATTCTTCATTATTATTTACTTATTTATATATATTTTGTGTATGTCTGATTTACTAATTTTCCCTAAGAAAGTCATGCTGGTAATTACAATATTTCCCAAAGTTGTCATAAAGGCTCCCCGACTTTTTGGATGTTGTTTTATTTTATTATTTTATTATCAAATTATATGTTCCCCAACAGATAATTTGAGGCTTTGTGCTTTTTAAAAGCTTATGTTCAATTTAGCATACACAAGTACTTAAATTAAAATATGACACTAAAGTACAGAAAACATATACAGATAAATACAGCATACTAGAACTACTAATAAAATGAATTTAGTAGTCTGTACATACTGGCATATTTACACTACACACTAAAAGTATGTATTTTAATGGTGATAGCACATACATTTCAGAATATAGCAATGGCTTCTTAATACCATACACCTTTGTTGCATATTTGCATGCAAGCATGAGATTCTAGCCTCATTTCTTTTCATAAATCCATTATCATTTAACTTTTACTTAAAACTGCTATGGCAGGTTTATCCTCCTTTCATATATGTTATAAGGTCAAAAGATACCCATCACAAACAAGGTGTTATTGGGCTGAAAAGCATGCATGGATGTAAACTGCAGAAATGTTTTGCATACTATGGTCACTGTAAGGCACAGACACAATGACGACGACAGATGTAAAATCAACAACTGGTAAGTTTATTGTGGGAATGGCAGAAACTGACACAATAGCAGGTGAGACTTTGGCAGATGATTTCAGAATAATGTGATGGATAGTGATGCAGTCTTATCTTTTTCAGGTTGGACGAAGACGATCGTCAGGGCGATGACTGACCAGATAATGAAAGGAATCCTTAGATAAGTGAGTCTGTATTCTCTGACAAGGCCAAACACCAACTGATGCTAAGTGTGAGCGTGCTTTTATAGTGCTGCTGGGCTGTGATGAGTGGTGTGTGTGATTGGAATTCTGGGGACTGTATTCTGTAGAATGAGGAAGAGCCTGGCATGAGCGTGACTATTTGCTATGCACTATGATATAGGACGTGCTAATTCTAATCTTACATATAAGATGTTGTATGCATAGGATATGTTTTTACAGCATGTAGAAATTATTCCCAAATGGCAAAGTAGGCTATCCATTTCAAATTTCCTTTAAAAAAAGATAGACTTAGTCATGCAACAACAATTTAGTATGACAATTTAATGGTTTTTGTGTTGTCGTGTAATATATTTTATATTATACTACTTAAAAAAAAATAGCATGCGTACACATACATTAGCAGTGCAGACAACATTTAGTATCATAAATGGTCATAATTATTTTTACTCATAAAAGTATATATGAGTAAAACAGCCTCCATATCTTCATAGAAAATAAGATCTAAAATATTGCCCAAACATAATAAGGGTCACACCAGACTATGAACACATTTTCCACATTTATGTAGATCATATACACTACCGTTCAAAAGTTTGGGGTCAGTGTGATTTAACAGGAAAAAAAAATTACAGTAAACAGTAAAGACATTTTTTTAATGTTACAAAGGATTTATATTTCAAATAAATGCTGTTCTTTTAAATTTTATATTCATCAAAGAGTCCTGAAAAACAATATCACTGTTTCCATATATGCAGCAAAACTGCAATGTTTCCAACATTGAAAATAATAAGAAATGTTTCTTGAGCAGCAAATCAGCATATTAGAATGATTTCTGAAGGATTATGTGACACTGAAGACTGGAGTAAAGGCTGCTCAAAATTCACACAAATTAATTACATTTTAAAATATATTAAAATAGAAAACGTTTATTTTAAATAGTAATAATTTTTCACGATATTACTGTTTGTTTGTTTTTACTATATTTTTGATCAAATAAATGCAGCCTTGGTGAGCATAGGAGACTTATTTCAAAATTTAAAAAACATTTTAAAAATCTTACCAACCCCAAACTTTAATGTAATTACAACATTAGTGTAATTGTGAGCCCACACTTTTTGTTCCATTGTTATTATTATTATTAATGTAATTCTGAATTATGTATTTTCATAGAATTCTGTATATTTTCATTCAAATATTATCAGCCTGCATTTATAGAAAATAATGTACATAAGTTAAAGGGGAGAAATCTTAAATAAATATGACCTCAGGATCCTAATATAATTATATGTTCTCTATGAAGAAAAAAAAACATATCTGTTAGTGAACACAATTATCAAATATTGGTTAGACAGATTTATTTTTTAGAAAATATGTTTATCCATCAAATAATATAAATATGAAACTATAGTTTTTGATGGTGTGTGTCAAATATACAACAGAATGTACATTGATTTTAAATGCTCGATCTGTCACTACAGAAGCAATAACAAACAACAACATTGTTCTTGCGCTCTCATTTAGCCATTTTAACTTCTTTATTTGGGTCAATACGTGCACCATAACCAGGCATGGCTTTCTTCATATAGCTTCTGAGGCTCTCATCTCTAAGGCCGTAAATGAGCGGGCTCAGAAAGCGAGGAAGCAGGATGAAGCAGAAATAGTAGATAAAAGACATATCTGCTTGAGACAAGTTTACACGCTGGACAAGTAAGAGTTCTGCGACAGGTTGTGAGAAAGCCATTATGCAGAGGAGAAGCTGGAACCCATGAAGCAGCACTGTGTGCAGAGCCTTCCTCACTGACACTCGGTCCTGCCGCATCTGACGGGTCTCCAGTAGGATCCGAATGTACGTGAAGAGGATGACTACAGCGACCACTGTAAAGAAGATCCCATTGAGGCTCACTTTGAACAGAGCTTGAATAGGAGAAGCATTGAGCACAGTGCTCTTGCAGAGCACAGGGGTCGAATGGACATCTACACCCGGCTTGAGCCGCATCAAGACAAAGTCGACAGTGGGCAGAATGCAGCTGATGAGCCACAGACTTAAAATGATGATCCAAATCCATTCCGGTCTCCAGATGGCAGGACGGTGAAGCGGGTAGAAAATGGCCACGTAGCGCTCCAGTGACATAGTGGAAAGGATGAGTGGGGTGTTTAGGAAGGTAGCAGTAGACACAAACAGCAGTGGTGCGCAGTAGACGATTGCAAACTGCACAGCGCCCATCGCTAACAAGAAGAGGGATACAGAGGAGAGCAGCTGCAGGGTGTCGTTCATCAGCATGTAGGTGAAGAGGATATAACGGGAGCTGTCAAAGAACTGCCTGTGAGATGCAAAGGTGTACAACGTCAGGAGGATGAAGAACAGGAAGGCAATGAAGAATGGGATCACCACACACACCTTTACAATGACAGAAAGGTTGTTGCTGGATGTTGTGTTGCCTGGGAGTTCTGTCAGATTCTGCATGTTTTCAAGGGTTTTGCAACACTGCTGATGTTACAAAGGCTGAAAGGAATTTTGCAAAATAACATTTGTTTAGTTTAGAATGTGGAAAATGAAAATTGTATAAAACAACTGTCGGTAATAGTACTTTAAACATAATGCAATGTAATCGAATGTGATGTTCACTGGAAAATTCATTGAATAATCTGCATCTGATCTGACTTCTGTTCACAAAATAAACTTCACACGCTTGTTGACTCACCAAGCTGCCTCTGTTGGAAGATAAATTAAAAGATGATCAGAGATGCCAGATGGGTAGCCCACTTTTATATTGCTGAAGATTTGTTTCATGACAAATGAATGGGATTTGTTTCCCCATAGGATGACTTAATTTCACGCTATGAACACAAAGCATAATTATAGCAATTAACAACCAAACAATCCAAACAAAAATAAAATCAAGTCATCTAGTGTGTGTGTGTGTGTGTGTGTGTGTGTGTGTGTGTGTGTGTGTGTGTGTGTGTGTGTGTGTGTTGTATTTTTTTTTATAAATGTTGTATCCAAGGTTTTATAGACCTAAATTCTTCATCTGGTTAACAAGACCCTATAGCAAAACTTATAATCTAAAAAGGAAATTTTTAATTACTTGAAAACTTTTATTTACTCTGTAAGTATCAATAAATTACATTCAATTTAATAAAGTTATTTTGTGGTTATTAAGTATTTTTCTTTCTATCTTTTTTTTTTTAAATTATGTAAGTTGTCATATCCACTAGAAGAGGGTATTTAGAATGTTTGGATGTTTCATATGGCTAGTCATTAACAGAGCTATCAGTTATTGACTATGAACTCATGTGCTCTGCCTTATTTTACCATATTGTTTGTTCTGCTGTGCAGCAAAGTACTCAGGGACGAAAGTACATTGACAGCTTGTCTGCAGAGTCATATGCGTCACTCATTAGACCAGCGAGACACGTATCTCACAACTGTCTGTTTTTTGAAGTGCACTGACCTAAAATGAGGAGGGAAGAGGGAATCATCGAACAACTAAAAGCAAACAGCAAGCTTTATCATAAAGAAGATCTGGAGCAGTTAGGGGCTTTGAAAAACAAGCTGTCTGCATGTTTTTGGTCAACATCTAGAAGTGCTGATACTTGCTATGTGATGTAAATATTAAACTGATGAAACTTAGTGATATAAGTATTAAACTTAGTTATATCCTCCTGAGACCCAGAAAAAAAAAGGTTTTTGAATTTAGTTTTTTTCCATGTCATCACACTGTTTAGAGCACAATAAACAAATGGTAAAAAAAACATATATATAAAATAATATTTTATTCATACGTTATGCTATGTCCTCTGTAGTGGACGCCAGGACTAAGTTTTTAAAAAAATAAAATGACATGAAATTATATGTATAGGCAAAAACAATGGGATTTTTTTTTCAATCACCAATACATTTTGGGGTTTCAGGATTTTTTCAACCAAAATTTGTATAAAGATTATTCTCAACTATGTTATGAAAGAAATAATGGAATGAATTGATACACCATTTTACTTTTTGCAATATGTGGGTAAAATGGCCATAAGTTAATATTCCCATTCAATGCAATGTATCTAATTTGCACATTAATGTGTTCTGGGAGCAACATTTAATGAAAGAATAAAGGGTAATAATTGGAGTAATAATTGGCAACATTTTAATAATAATATCGAACATTTCATAGGAATATTGATGTATAATTTATTTCCATATTCACTTGTTGTGTCTCCCAGAATGCCTGATAAACATGATTTTAGTCCGGATGTCCTCTACAGTGGACACGTTTGAAATCAATGCCCTGTTCTGTAACAGAAAGTTTTTTTTGTTTTTTTTTAAACCCCTTAACATTTTCCTGAGATGTTGTTTTATGAAATACAATTTGAAAAGTAGTCCAATTTATATTATAATTACACTATATTATCATATTTCCATAAGAATGCTACATTTGATCACTAAATTAATGTCAGACATTTTTAAAGACCAAGGAGAAGTTGTTTTCATGGTGAAACCTCCAAACATTTGGTATCTCTGAAAAGTCCTTAATGTGCTCTTTACAGGACACCCAGGTTGTGTCATGTGACATGTATGATGTCAGAGAAATTCACTAAAATATAATGTCTACTACAGTGGACAAAAGTCTATTCTTGGGTCCCAGGAGGATATTAGCTAAAAATATTAAGCCTTTGTTCCTTTTAGTTTTAACATATTTACATTTAAATCAACCATTCCCAGACAACAACTTTACAGAAAATAAAGCCTTTACACATAAATATAGAGCTACCTTTATATATATATTTGTTATATATATATATATAATTTTTTTAATCTGGATCTTTTTCCCCATGTACTCTTCTTTTTTTCTTTTTTTTAACTGTATAAAAAGCATTCGTAATTGAATTTCTAAATCACCTTCACAAATTCTAAGATTTTGCTTTGTTTTGCGTGCTTTAACCATTCTTTGTAGATCCCACATTCTCGCATCCCACAATTGGTCGAAAATGTAAAGGGTCTTCGTTCCTGGAGGGCCACTGTCCTGCAGAGATTAGCTCTAACCCTATCAAACACACCTGAACAATATCTTCAGAATTACTAAAAAGGTACAGGCAGGTGAGTTTTTATCAGGGTTGGAGCTGAATTCTGCGGTACAGTGGCCCTCCATGACCAAAGTTGGCCATCCCTGGTCTATCTAGGCCTATTTGATGCACAAAAATAATAAACACATTTGTAGTGTTATATCAGCTAAATATTCAGATCTTTATGTTACACTAAAATTCAATTATTTATTTTATTTATGAGTTAATGTTTCTGAAAGCCTACCATTCTTAACACGAAAGATCCCTGAGGATCAGATGTGCATCACAGAAAACAGTTGACCAAATCTTCACAGAGTCAAATCCTATGTGACTAATTATGTGCTTTATCAGTGCATAGTTATTGCATATCAGTGTAATTTGTGCTTCCTAATTGTTTGGCAATGATGCATCCCACCTGGCAACATGAGTTGGACCGAGCCAAGCTGCAAAGCAAATATTTATTTAATGACTTGTCACTCTGATTAGTCTCCTGAGTGATACCTCCACTACAAAGAACCAGTCTGTTATAATGATGTAAATATGTTTAACAAACATTGGCCTACAGAGAGTACAGCACCCAAAACACTTCCATAGTTTTGTGAAACTTTCTTTAAAGAAAGAAAAGTTATGTGATTATAGTTTATGGACTTTGTGATACTCATTATCTCAGACAAATACACATGAGTAGAAGTTATGCAACGATATATTGCTGCATATTGTGACAACAAAGTCACAAGGAGGGTGCACTGTTTCTTTTAGTCAGTATGTATATAGATAGATGGACGGACAGACTCAACGCCGGCGATATGTTATGCCCTAAATTAAGACATGATGATTAACTAACTATATTCTTCTATGTACATTTCTGAAATGCACTTTCTGTAAAGCTGCTTTGAAACAATATGTATTGTGAAAAGCGCTATACAAATAAATTTGAATTGAATTGAATTGAACAGACGGAGACAGATAGATAGATAGATAGATAGATAGATAGATAGATAGATAGATAGATAGATAGATAGATAGATAGATAGATAGATAGATAGATAGATAGATAGATAGATAGATAGATAGATAGATAGATAGATAGATAGATAGATAGATAGATAGATAGATAGATAGATAGATAGATAGATAGATAGATAGATAGATAGATAGATAGATATTAATAATTAATCAACAAAACCAAAGTAATATACGTATAATAAAAAAAAACAGAACTGATACCACTGAACATGGGAAACAATCATTGCGAGGGAGAATTATGAAAGCTTAAATATATGTGTATATGTGTATCATTCATATAAACTTTTAAATTGTTGCATATACTTGTTTGTTTGGGGTAAAAAATGTATGTTTAAGCATGACTGTCTCAGTTGTCCTCGGTTCTCTGTCTCCTAAACAAAATCAAATCTAAATGTAGCTGTTTTTAACTAACCCTTTCATGCATGAATTATGATAACCTCAGTCAGGATTTTTTTCCTATGTGTTTTTATTGCTCTTAGGGCATGAAAAACAAGATTTTATTTTATTTTATTTTTTTTTACAAATTTTCCAAAGAGATTTTCAGGTGTCCACTTGAGTGGACAGCATGCATTTATGGTTTAAACTGAAGAGATACTATATTAAACATAATACAATAATCAAACAGATAAAGTATGTGTATTTAACAAACTAATCAATACAATTATATCAAATCATGTGAAAACTATAAAATATATACAAAAAATATAAATTCGAAATATTGCAAATGCAATTGAACTTCATACAAGTTGCACTTCGTGTATCTTTGATATCAGAACATGAGGACGTGATTCCATCAGAAATTTCTACAGCCTGTCAAGGTACAACAGTGGAAACCACTCAGATGCTCCCTCCAATGTGCCAGAGTATGTCAATTTACCTTTATTAGCTGATAATTCTGATTATGTTCAAGATAGACACATTTCTAGCATAGGCCTCTTCTGAGAAAACCTAGCGATACGTATTTTTCAATCTCATCTGAAATTAGCAGTGTTGGGGCATGCATAACACATTCAGATTACTTTTTTGATGTTACAAGTAAAGTAATGTGTCACAAGTAACGTGCATTACATAATCAGATTTGTTTTAATGTTACGAGTAAAGTAATGTATTACAAGTAACATGTATTACCTAATCAGAATACTTTTTGATCTAACAAGTCAAGTAATTAATTACAAGTAACATGCATTAGGTAATCAGATTACTTTTTGGTGTTACGAGTAAAGAAAAGCATTACAATATAGTACATTAGGAAATCAGATCACTTTTTGATCTAACAAGTAAAGTAATGCATTACAAGTAACATGCATTACGTAATCAGATTACTTTTTGATGTTACGAGTAAATAAATGCATTACAAGCAACATTCATTGCGTAAACAGATAACTTTTTGAT